TWAKCCTRTMTGGCACCYCGRTTGGTAGCAGGAGCTGATTATTTGCTCGCTGCATTGGTTCACAAATGGCTTTTCTGCTTCTTGACGAGACGCTTTAGATCCAAACTGGAGCACAACTGAGAATCCTTCTGATGCTTCTGTTCTTAGGTGGCAGAGACAGTTTGACAACTGAGGATGAAGCTGCTCCAACTAGAGCTTCATCAACAACTTCGTCATTTAGAGGTAGAGACAGATGGAAAGTTTGAATCTACTTTTTATGTCTACTTGTTGATTCACTTGCATTACAACCTGGCTGGAATGCAAGATATAAGATCCCATGATATTATGTTATATTATAGAGTGTGATTATATATTATACAGTCTGATATGTATAATGTAACATACAAACTTAGTGAGTATTATTTAAGAGGAGAATGAAAATTAATATCAGAGAGAACAGCTGACTCCACATCAGACCGACACTGGGACACTTTTTAGACGTGTCTGTAATTAACTGAACTAATTAATAGAACTTATCATGACTCTAAAAATAATAATTTGATAATTTGGGAATTATGTCTATTTGTGTTCTGGCAGAAGTGTAAAACAAGTAGCTGCAGTGGAACAGGCGGTTAAATGTCAGAGTATTTCTTGCCCCCTCACAGTTGCCAGATGACCAGCGGAGACATATGATATAACCAGACATTAAATGACTCAATGTGTTTTTATACTTTGATTTTTGCAAAGTTTAGAGATGAGATATAGTGAAACATGAACTGTGAGTTTCAGTCAGGCTAGCTGTTTCCCTCTGTTTCAAGTCTTTATGCTAAGCTAAACTACCCATCTGTGTCATTTATCTTCCACCAGGAAGCGAACAAGCGCAATTCCCAGACATGTCAAACTGTTTCCTTAACACGCTAATATATGTCTTGTGATTTTTATTGCTATTTTATTTATCTGATATTATTCCTCAGTCCTTTACCCATTTAATATTTTAATATATTTCTCCTCATTGTTCCAACGCAGACAAACTGAGGTAAATGGGATGAAACACAGATTTTCTTTCTGCATACTACATCCCAAAATATACTGTCAAAATAATTCAAATATGTTATGTATTACCTATAAATTTACAGGTATTGGCTGTAAATTTATAGGTAAGGTCTGCTTGTAACAGACCTTCATGTTAATGAGTGTTTGATGTAACTTGAAACAGTCCTGTTGTTTATGGCACTTTATAGTAATAATAGGATTTTATATTTGCAGACAAACACGACGGGGGTGTGAATACTTACACAGATACCGGTAAGTAATTGAGTTCTGGTCGTACAAAGATGTGGATGATTATCTGCATCTAACTTTGATTGTGTCTTTCAGGACATACGCCTGTTATAGTCTCTCTCGTATGCGTTGTACTAGGTAATGTTTTATTTTTCTTGTTGGAATTCACATTTTAACTAAATATTGCACTTGAAATACAATTTGCATTTTCATTTTCATTTTCTTTTCTTAACAGTTGCAGTTATACTTGTGGCCGCTTTATACAGGTGTTATCTGAGGAGAAAAGGGTGAGATTTAATATTTTTTTCTTAACTCCTTCATGCATGGGTCACACTATATTCTTTTTATCCATCTCTTTGCTTTTTCTACTCCTTTCGTCTTTTGATATTTATGAGCACATATTTCTCTGAGCAAACGTGCAGTGAATTAACACAAAAGGTAACGCTGCAGCAGATTCAGTTTTTTCCGGTTTAACAGCTTTTTAGCTTTTGACCCCTGAAAGGAAATCTAGATGTCTGTGTGTCCGTGTTTGTGCTGAGGAATGAGGGAAGTCAACAGGAAATCCTTTAATACTGCATAACCAGCTGTGATGTGGAAACTCATGTCAGCTCAGTTATTCCCTGCAGGTTGGAATGATTGGGAAGGAATGCCTTTGATGATCAAGTTAAAGTTATATGGATTAG